CTTACTTTGGATTAATTTGTTCTTGTTCTAGTTTCCTAAAGTAGAGGTTAAATGATTTATTTTAGATCTTTCCTCTTTTCTAATGTATACCTTCTATGTTTCTCAATTTTCTTCAAACCTGTTTTTATTGTATCCTACAAATTTTTATGAGTTGCATTTTCATTTAGTTGAAATATTTTAAATTTTCTCAAGATTTTTCCTTTAACTTATGTATTATTTAGAAGTGTATTACTTTATTTCCAAATATTTTGAGATTTTCCAACTATCTTTCTGATAATGATTTACAGTTTAATACTATTGTGATCTGAGAGTAGACATTACATGATTTCTCTTTCTTTTTAACTGCTTAATGTATACAAGTTCATCATCACTAGACCTGCCTTACAAGAAAAGCTAAAGAAATTTCTTCAAATTGAAACAAAAGGATGCTAATGACACGAAAACATATAAACATATAAAACTCGGACGTGACTAAGCAGCTGAACTGAACAGTAAATATATACTCAAGTTCAGAATACTCTAATACTGTAATGAAAGTGAAAGCAAAAGTGTTAGTCACTCAGTCCTGTCTGACTCCTTGAGATCCCATGGACTGTAGCCTGCCAGGCTCCTCTGTCCATGGGATTCTCCAGGCAAGAATACTGGAGTGAGTTGCCATTTCCTACTCCAGGGGATTTTCCTGACCCAGGGATTTAACCCACTTCTCCTGTACTGCAGGTAGATTCTTTACTGTCTGAGCCACCAGGGAAGTCAATACTGTAATGGTGGTGTATAAATCATTTTTATCTCAAGTAGAAAAATTTTTAAATAATATTAAAAGTAACTATAGCTACAATAGCATGTTAGTGAATGTGCAATATAAAAATGTATGAAGTATGACATCAGTAGCATAAAATGTGCAGGGAGAAGTAAAATTATAGCATTTTTATATGCAGTTTACGGTAAGCTATGATCAGCTTTTAAAAAAATGTTGTATCTAGAAAACTTTATGTAAGACTCTATGAGGTTTTATGTAAAACTCACAGTAGCCACAAAGAAAAAAGCTATAGTAGTTATCCAAAAGTTAAAGGGAAAGAAATTAAAGCATATTACTACTAAAAAATAAATATAAATCACAAATAAAGACAAGAAAGACAGGAAAAAAGCAACTAAGGAACTAAAAAAAAACTAAAAAACAATTAACAAAATGGCAATAGTATGTCCTTACTATTAGTAATAGTCCTTACTATTATATAGTAATGAAAAGTGAAAGTGAAATCGCTCAGTAGTGTCCAACTTATTGCGAGCCCATGGACTGTAGCCTACTAGGCTCCTCCCTCCATGGGATTCTCCAAGCAAGAATACTGGAGTGGGTTGCCATTTCCTTCTACAGGGGATCTTCCTGACTCAGGAATCGAGCCCGGGTCTCCTGCACTGAAGGCAGACGCTTTAACCTCTGAGCCACTAGGGAAGCCCATTATATAGTAATACATATTACTTATTTACTATTACTTACTATTAAATAGTAATAGTCCTTACTATTATTACCCATTAGTAATTATTTGGAGTCTGGCAGATTACAGTCCATGGGGTCACAAAGGGTGGGATGCGAGTGAATGACAAACACACTTTCTTGCTTAAATGTAAATGGACTAAATTCTCTAATCAAAAGACACAAAGTGGTTGAATGGGTTAAAGAAGAAAAGATCCAACAGTATGCTACCTATAAGATTCACATTAGCTTTAAAGATGCACACAGCTTGAAAATGAGTGATAGAAATGGAGTATCACATAAAATGAACTTTCAGTCAAAATTGGTCACCAGAGAAAAAGAAAGTTACTATATAGTGGTAAAGGGATCAGTTCATCAAGAGTATACAACAATTGTAAATACATATGCACCCAACACAGGAGCACGTAAGTATTTTAAGCAAATATTAATAAGCTGAAGAGAGAGATAGATAGCAATACAATAGTAGGAGGAGACATCAATACTCCACATTTAACACTGAACGCATCATCCAGACAGAAAATTAATAAAAAGCACACCTGAATAACACTATAGACCAAATGGACCTAACAGACACATACAGAACATTCCATACAGCAGCAACAAAATACACAGTTTTCTCAAGCACACACAAAATATTCTCTAGGACATTGTATATTGGGTCACAAAGCAAGCTTCAATGATTTAAGGAGATTGAAATCACATTTAGTGTCTATTCCAACTTCAATGGTATGAAACCAGAAATCAGCAACAGGAAAAAACTGCAAATTTTACAATTATGTGGAAATTAAACAACACACTCCTAAATAACCAACAAGAAGAAATCAAGAGAAAAATCATAAAATTCTTTGAGACAAGCAAAAATGAAGTCACAACTACCAAAACTTATGGGATATATCAAAAGCAGTGTTAACATGGAAGTTTATAACAATAAATTTGTACATTAAGAAAAAGAAAGATCTCAGATAAGCAACTTGAATTTATACCTCAAGGAATTAGAAAAAAAAAGTTAGAAGCTCAACATTAGCAGAAAGAAGAAAATAATAAAGATTATATGAGAAATAAATAAAATAAAGATTAGAAAGACAAATAAAATCAATAAAACTAAGATTTGACTTTTTGAACAGATAAAAAACTGAGAAAACTTTAGCTAGTCTAAGCAAGGAAAAGAAGAGAGGACTCATAAAGGTGTAAGTGGTAGAAGAGACATTACAACTGGTACCATGGAAATACAAAGAACCCTAAGGTTACTATAGCAATGAATTGGATAATCCATTAATAGAAGAAACTGATAAATTTCTAGAAACATACATACAATCTACCAAGATTCAGTCATAAAGAAATAGACAAACTGAGCAGATCATAGTGACTGAGGAGATTGAAATAATAATCAAAAGCCTTCCACCAAAGAAAAGCTCAGGACAGGATGCTTTTGCTGGTGAATTCTACTACAAATTTAAAGAAGAATTGTTTTTAAATCCTAAAATTCATATGGAATCGCAAAAGACCTGGAATAGCCAAATAAATCCTGAAAAAAGAAGAAAAAAGCTGGAGGCATGATACTTCTTGGTTTTGAATAATACTGCAAAGCCATAATAAACATGCAGAAGGAAATGGCAACCCACGCCAGTATTCTTGCCTGGAGAATCCCATGGACAGAGGAGCCTGGTGCGCTGCAGTCCGAGGGGTCGCAAAGAGTCAGACACAATGAAGTGACTTAGCATAGCATAATAAACAAAATAGTATAGTACTAGCATAAAAGCAGACACACAGTCTAATGGAATAGAATGCAGAGCCCATAATTAAACCCATGTACATACACTTAACTCATATTTGACAAGGTAGCCAATAATACTCAATGGGGAAAAGATAGTCATTTCAATAAATGGTGTTGGGGAAACTGGATATTCACAAACAAGAGGATGAAATTGGATCCCTAGATACGTCACTCACAAAAATTAACTTGAAATATTTTAAAGACTTGAATGTAAGGCCTGAAATTGTCAAACTCCTAGAGGAAAACAGGGAAAATTTTCCATGACATTGGTCTTGGTGACTATTTTTAAAATATAACCTTAAAACCATGCTCAATAAAAACAAAATAAACAAGTGGGGTTATATCAAACTAAAAAGCTTCTGCATATCAACAGAAATAGTCAACAGAATGAAGAAACATCCTAATGGGATAGGAGAAAATATTTGCAAACCATCTTCCAAATAAGGGGTTAATATCCAAAATGTATAAGGAATTCATACAACTCAATAGCAATAATAATCTGATTTTTTAATGGTCCGAGGGCTGATTAGGCATTTTTTTTCAAAGAAGACATACAAATGGACAACAAGTACATGAAAAGATGCTTCAATATCACTAATCATCAGGGAAATGAAAATCAAAACCACAGTAAGATATTACCTCAAACCTGTTAGGATGGCTATTATCAAAAAGACAAAAGATAGCAAGTTTTGGCAAGGTTATAGAGAAAAGAGAACACTTTGCAGCGTTGGGTGGAATGTAAATTCCACCACACTATGAAAAAAGTTGTGAAAGTTCCTCAAAAAATTAAAAATAGAACTACCATATGATCCAGCAATCCCACTTCTGGGTATATATCAGAAGAATATAAAACCACTACCTTGAAGAGATATCTTCACCCCCCCCCCCCATGTTCTTTGCAGTGTTATTCACAATAGCCTAGACATGGAAACAAGCTAAGTGTCCATGAATGTATAAACAGATGAGATACATATGATGGAATATTGTAGAATGGTGGTTGCCAGGGGCTGGAGAGGTAATGGGGAGCTGTTAGTTGAAGGGTACAAACTTGCAGTTATAATATCAATATAAGTTCTGGATATCTAATTACAGCATGGTGATTATAGTTAACAGTACTGTATTATATACTCGAAAGGTGATGAGTTGAAAGTTGACCACTTTAAACTGTCTCACCACCAAAAAAAAAAAACAAAACAAAACAAATTATGTGAGGTGATGGATGTGTTAATTAACGTTATTTTGGTAATCATTTCACAACGTAGGCATGTATCAAACCATCACACTGTATACCTTAAACTTACACAATGTTATATATCAACTCTAATAAATTTGAAAAAATAAAGTAAAAAATATTAAAGAAAAGAAGGAGGGTAGGGTTAGTTCTATATAAGGTGAGAGGCAGAATCACATAATGTCACAACTCAAAAGTTTTCTTAATCATCCATTCAGGAATTTGAAATTGGCATCCCATTGGACTATATCCATTATGAAATATGTTCTCTTTGGAGAACACAGGGCGTTTGTTTTGTTTTAACTAACCCAAGAGACTATTTATAAAGCCCTGAAACCCCAGACTCCGTGAAAAGATGGGAAGACCTGACCTGTCCATATTCCAAACTGTCAGTAATCATTGGCTAGGATTTAACAGCAGGAAATACCTTCAATCCTTCAGTCTCCTGCCACAGCTTCCAGTTCTAATTCTGTAAAGCTAGAGCTTCCCTCTGATGGCTGCAGCTACCAGCCGTCAGTTGCAGGTCCTGAGAGTTTAATCCCTTCGTTCATTGTGTAAGGAAACCAAAGACCAGAGAAACCGTAGGAGTTGCCTAAAATCAGAACCTGTTGTAAACAAAGTGAGGAACTCAAGAGACTCCTTAAAGACAGGAGGACCCCAACTGGGGTGGTGTTGAATGACCAAGGTCTCTGGCAGTTGTGGGCATCGCAGTTTTTAGTGAGTTCTTCGGGTCGGTGCTTTGAGCAGGGCAAGCCTCCTAGAGTCTCCAGCTTCCTCCAGAGGAATCTCCTCCCCCACAACCCCAAAGCTCTATTCTGTACTCGACAGTGTCCCCAGCACACAGCTTCCAGAACGAACGATAGAATGCACCCTGGGCTCCTCCAGACGTAATCAGTGTATGCAGCAGGAGCGAATGCTGTTACTGGGCTCCAGGAAGACAGGATCCCTGTGGGGCGCCTCGCAGGGGTACAGAGGGCCTCGCGGGTTCCCCAGAATTGCGTCATATCTAAACGGCTACTGAAGTCCCATTCACACTGGGGTACGAGGGCTCGGAAATCCTCGCGAGGGACCGACCCCTCCAAGGCGGCTAGAACTTCGTGCGTCCCGAATCCTGGGAGCACCAGGTGCGCGAGGCGAGAGGCCACCCTCCGCCTCCACGCTGAGACAGGCGGGGACCCTGGGGCGGAGCCCAGAGCGGAGCTGGCGCACCCAGCCGGGCCCCAGAAGCCAGGGAATGCTGCGCGGGCTGAACGCGGGCTGGAACCCGGGGACCACGACGCGCCTGGGAAGGGCGCTGGGTGAGAAGGAATAGGGACACCTCCTTCGAAGCGCAAGTCCGGCTTCCCGAGACCGCTGGTGGGGAGAGCTCGGAAGCGGGTAAGTGCAGAGCTTGGCGCAGTCGCGGGCTCCGGTGGCGGGGTGGGGGGCGTCGCTCTGGCTGAGGGCTCAGACGCCCGCTTCTTCCTCAGGGAGTTTCGGGCCGCTTTGCCTGCTGCCGCCTTGCGAATGCGACCTGGCTGGCTCGCAGTAGAGGAGTGGGAGCCGGCAGATGACCAGGCAAGGGGCGGTAGGCTGGGGCTAGGCAGGGCAGCCGCGGACGGAGGGAGCCACTGGGTAGCTGGGCCGCGGGGCGAGCACCAAACCGCAGAGGAGGGCGTGGGCAGGGAGCGCCTTCGGGAAGGTGAGCGGGAAAGGGGAAGTGTCTCTGGGAAAACCCCCGCTCTGCATCTCCTCTCTCCACTCCCAGTTTTCTTCCCGCCTGGAGGCCTCACATGCTTTGCTTCTCGAGCCTGAATTTCTGACTTGATTCCAGCCCCTGCCAGGGCAGCGCCTCCGGCGACTGTGGTTAAAGAGAGACAGTGGTTAATAAGGGAGACGAAGGACCAGGCTCCCGGAGTGGGTTGGTCAAGGGCAGGGAGAGCATCCCGAGGTAATGGGGAGTGGACCGGCTCCAGCCTGGGAGCCTTCCGTCTCCTCGCGGGTCCCGGGACCGGAACCAAAGAGCAGCCGAAAGTAGAATCCGAGAGAGCGCGAGTCCAGCTTCCCGATCGCCGCCTTAGTAAAGCCTGCGGAGGGCTGGGTGAGACACAGAGGCGATCCAAAACGAAGCTATCTTTAGCTGCGGTCTTGAACCTCCCCAGGTACACAGCAGGCTGCCGCGCCGCAGGTTGGAGTGTACTGGCCATCCTGCGACTGCTGTCCGTGCTGGGGGTCGGGCGTGGGGATGGTGGGGGGGGGGGAGCAGTTTCTGTCCTTTCTCCCCATCTTCTCACAGGGCTGGACCAAACCAAACCTACTGTCCGGTTTGTTCCGCTTCTTGCCTCCGGCATCCCGTGGCTCCCACTCTTGGGAGTCCTTCCCAGTGTGCTAGGAGGTGGGGGAAGGTGGATGAGCGCGGGGAGCGGGGCGGAGGGGTGGCAGGTGAGGGGTGGTATTCCGTGGGTGCTGGGTCTGGATTCTTTTCCTAGTGACTCGGACACCTCGAACCCAACGGTACCCTATCTTCCGAGGGCTCAGTACTTCAGACTTTATTTCCTCCCCTATGGGCATCTGGAGGCACCAAGAATGTAGAGAACTTAGGCCATAAGGGACATGTCAGCCCTCAAGCCCTCCTGGATCCTCACTGACACCCCCGCCCCCACTCCCACACCCCCACCCCCTTGGGGGGCTGTTTTCAGTTAAGCAATATCTTGGAGCTGCCACCACTTTCAGAGGACACAGACTCCTTAAGGAGATGTGGTGCCTCCCAGTCAAGGCTGGAAGGGGAAACTGGGGGCCTGGTGAGGGGGCAGATCAAAAGAATGGAGGCAGGGAAGGGAAGCAGACAGCAGGTTTTTTCAAAAATGGCCTCAGGAAACAGCAGGAGAGTTCCCTCCCACCCACAGGCTTCTCCACCTGCAGAATCTTGGTTGGGATCTTCATTCATTCCTTCAACAGCCCCTCCTCTGTGCCAGGCCCTGGGCTAGGCATCAGGATTTTGGTTTATAGGAAAACTGGAATTCAGAGAGCATATATCACTGGCCCAAGATGACTCAGCCTGTCCATGTGAAAGTGGTGATTTTCAAGTCTGTGAACTGGCGCAGAGAGGAAGCAGTCCCTGCTTTGGAGGAAAGACCCTACTGTATCCACATCTTCTGGCTTCATTGTCCCTGGTCACAGCTGGCATAACATTGTGACTCCCATAGAGTCCTGAGTCAGCTGCCTGAGCAGCTGGGGAAAACTTCTGGAAGACCCTTGTGGGGGCTTCCTGGGGGGCAGGGGAGGGTGACTGGGCAGTCAAACTGGTCTTGGCCCCTGGGCAAAAAGCAAAGATACACATTCTTCTTGGGTGTCTCTGGGGAGTCCAAACCAACCCATGCCCAAATCCCTCCTGATAGCCAGTCAGTAGGGGGTTTCCCAATTTCCAGGTATCATGTGTCCTCCCCACTGTACCATGGGCAGTTCTGCCTGAGGGTAGACACTGGATCTGGTTTGCCTACACCTGGGGGGACTCTGAGAAGATGCTACCAGGTGTTCACCTGTATCTTATCAACTGGCTGTGTCTCCTTCCAGGATCGAGGATGGCATGTTGACTCCCCAAGGATGTGGGCAGGGTGCTAGAATCTCTGACCTCATGGGAGCAGAAAGTCTGGACCCTAGCTCAGAGTCTGCAGACCCTGGAGTCTCCCACACACCGCTCACTGGCAAGCTTCACCATGGCAGCCCAGAATGGAAATGCTAGTTTTCCAACCAACTTCAGTATACCCCAAGAACATGCCTCCTCCCTCCCCTTCAACTTCAGTTATGGTGATTATGACCTCCCTCTGGATGAGGATGAGGATATGACCAAGACTCAGACCTTCTTTGCAGCCAAAATTGTTATTGGGGTGGCACTTGTGGGTATCATGCTGACTTGTGGTATTGGCAACTTTGTCTTTATCACTGCCCTCACCCGCTATAAAAAGCTGCGCAACCTCACCAACCTGCTTATTGCTAACCTGGCCATCTCCGACTTCCTGGTAGCCATCATCTGCTGCCCCTTTGAGATGGACTACTATGTGGTGCATCAGCTCTCCTGGGAGCATGGCCATGTGCTATGTGCCTCTATCAACTACCTGCGTACCGTCTCACTCTACGTCTCCACCAACGCCCTGCTGGCCATTGCTATTGACAGGTGAGGATGTCAGGCACGGGAAACATGACGGAGGTGGCCCAGGTCTCCTCTTTTCTCACTTCAGCTCTAACAGCTGGCTTTACTCCAGATTCAAATGTTTGCCAATCTATCGAGGCAAAAGAGGGTTGGTTTCTTCAGTTGTGGCTCATATTCTCCCAAATGTAGGCAAGAGTGAGTCTCCTGAACCCCTAGCTCTCGGCCATGCCGCCACATACCACATCTGCTTCAGATACAGTCATGTCATATAACCATGAGCCTCTCCAACACACAAGCAAAAGCATCAGGTTTAAGCAAGTTACTACTTAGCTACATTATAGACAAGGCAGCTTCCAGCCAAGGCAGCATGTGCAAAGTTTTTCTTGTAACCACAACCCAAATCAAGATATAGAACATCTTCATCCCCTAGAAAGCTTCCTTGTCCTCCTTACCAGTCAATCCTCCCACCCCAGGCAACCTCAATCTGATTTCTAGTGTCATAGTTTCATTTTACCCACTTTTTAACTTCACAAAAATGGAATAATACAGTAGGCACTCTGGTTTCTCGTGACTTTGATGCAAAGCTGATTTTACAGTGGGTTTATTGCCTGGTTTGCTTGTAAAAAAGAGAGAAGGACATTTTTGCCTTTCTTTTTTGCATACATCCCTCTGCTTATTTGCATATATTTGCATGATATGTTTTGGAAGTCCTTGATCTGTTGTAAATTTATAAAGAAAAATTTGTAATTACAGCTTCAGACAAATTTGACACATGTTTTATTTATGTAAACAGTAGTAGGCCAGCACTGAACCACCAGTGGCTCTTTTTAAGAAGTCAATTTGTGTCACATCTTTTTGGTTCATCATTGTGAGTTATGCTGAAACTCATTTTGATGATGTATTTTTTTTTTCATTTTGATGATGTATTTTTAATCATCTCTTTCCTTTTTATCACCTTTCAACTTGTTTTTCCCAGTTCTTAGAGCTATTTAGGTCCATTGTCCTTTTTAATCAACCTATTGATTTTTTCACTTATGATAATATAATACACATGCAGATATATGAGGCATCTTCCTTTTTATAACTTAATTCCTGTAGGAAAAAAACAATTTTGTTATCACAGCTGTGAGGCTCTCAAGCCCTGAACCCAGTGTTTATGAAACTTACCTATCAACCAACTACACAAAATACCCCAGGGGAAATATGTTTGATACAATGATACAAAGTCAGATTCTTGGGGCCCTACTGAATGGGAATCCCCTGGCTAGAGCCTAAGCATCTGCATTTTTACCCAATTCCCTGAGTGACTCTGTTGTCTGCTCAAGTGGGAGTTACCACTGTCCTCATCCCCTTTGTTCCGTTGAAATCTTTGTCTTTATAATGTAGTTGTGGGGCTTTTCTTTCTTTTTTTTAATACTGGAGATTCTCAGGAAGTAACCATCCTGTTACAATACAGGAGTGGTTCCTTTTCCACCCCAAACTAGCTCTGCCTCAGTCAGCTTCCAGCTCTGTCAGCAGTTCCACCATCTCCCAATCATATAAGCAGGTAATACTACCATCATCCTTTGCTTTTCTCCCCATTCTACCCCCACCCACACACCCCCTTTGGCAGATGCAGCCCTACACCAGGTCCTGGCACTAGTCCCTCCAGCCTCATCTCTTGGCAAGTCATGGCTGGACCATCACTATGCTCCTCTAACTTGTCTCTTCCCCTACAGGAGATCCTGACTGCCCCCTGAAATCCATACTCATCCATAATAAGCATCAGAATATCACCATTGAAGAGTCTTTCTAATATATTTCATTTCTTACAAAACCTCCAAAAGTTTCAATGCCTATAGAACACATGCCAAATCCTGAGTCTAGCACCTTGTATGTAGTCTTTATAGTCTGATGCCAATCTGTCTTTCAGTCTCATGTATGGGGACACAGTCTTTTCCAAAGGACACTGTATTTTGAGCACAATAGCCACACCTTCTTTCTTTATGTTTCCTTTGTGCTTAGCAAAGAGCCTCAAACCTGTGCCTTAGTTTGGTTTACTCCCAAAATAGACCCTGAGACAAGGATTCATGTGCAGGTAGCACCCAGGAAGCACCTACAGGGAGATGGGAAATGCAGCAAGGGAAGGCAGTCAATAAAACTGTGTCACTGAACAAATTTCCACTGTGGGAAAATGATGCTTATTCTTGCCACAGAACTCTTGGAGCTGGTGTAGATCACACCTCAGAGTTCTCCCAGGAGTGGGAGGTGGGTGAAGGAACTGAGCTATTTATATACCAAACCTCATAAGTCATTTGTGAGGGCCTCTGGAAATTCTGTTCAGGTTACCAAGAGTACTCTGGAAGCCAGAGAAGACCTTCTGACAAAGAAATGGAGGTGTTAGCCGGTGGGCGTGGACAGGTATGCACTGAAGTCATAAAAGCCGAGGGATATAGGGGGGCATCAAAAATATCTGCTTCAACCTGGTAGATCCACAGGTTGCTGAATCCTACTGTATTTTTATGCCCAGCCTATGTGTGTGGAAACATAAAGTAGTAGAAGACACAGTCTTTGACCTCTGGGAGCTTTACTTCCACACAAAAACTAGGATAATCTATTGATAAGTTAAGAGTAACTCAGAGGAAGACACAATGATTATGTTGGTGATGCAGTCTGGGAACACTTCATGAGGAAGTTGTGGTAATTTGAATGTGCTATTCTGACCACCTCCTATACTCCACTGATCAAGGCAAGACTCTATAGCTCCAATAGTAGTAGATGACTGAACACACAACCCTTGAAGCTAGAACAGTGAGGCTGACCACAGTTGGTTGGTCTCGTATACTCCCAGCCCGAGGGAGGAGATGGCTGCACCCCAGGCAGGGCCATGTGTGCCATGTGGGAGTTGCACTCAGGAATAGAATGAACCAGCAGGGGCTGTGGACAGCAGGCTTTACAGTGACAAGAGGCTGAGGTGACCTTAGCTCCCATGGGAGGATGTGATTGGCTTGTCTGAATGATTTTGCCAACTGGCAGGGAAGTGAAACCTGTTGTGGGTTGGGGGTGCACTTATTCCCACTGATAGAGAAACTAGCAGGACAGGAGACTTTCCCACCAGGAGGAGGGATACATCTGGTGAAAACAGAGGAACTCACCGCTAAACTTCTTATAGATATCAAAGCACATATGGAATTTCAACTCTTAAAATTCATGACTCTAACAAATAGCATCCCTCTTTCTTACTCAGTTTCAAACCAACTGAAAAATAAGGCAAAATGATAAGAAAGATAGATGATGGCCAAACTCTTATTTTTGTTGAGGTGACATTAATATTAAATAATTGGCTTGTATCTGTAGGCATAGGGACTACATCATACTCAGAACAAACCCTGACACCAACAGCAGGAGAAGAGCAATGTTCATGTGCAGAGGGCCTAGAAGAGATGCTATTTGAAGTCACAGAGACCCCAGAAGGAGAGTGTTGATCTCAAGAAATAGCCAAGCAGATAGATGGCAACAAAGACTTTACAGATGTCCCTCTTGCCAATGAAAGGGTCATAGGAAAAGATGAGTTTAAACAAAGTATTATAGCTTCCAGCATGCTTTATGTACATTTACCTTCTCAAATGGAACCTTTCAAAAAGGTTATTTGTAGTTATTTTTGTCTACCTTTCACAGATGAAGAAACTAAGCCCTAGGGGCATAAGTGATTTATCTGAGGATTTAGGTACAGAGCTAAAATTTAGGGCTTCTGAATAATGCCTAGGCAGTGTTCTTTATTTTATTTAGTTGATGACAATAAATCATAAAATAAAGCTCTAAATTTTTGAGCATCCTATAGGATAAGGAAGAAGTTACTGAGTGAAAAAGAATTAGAATTTAAGAGTTGACAGCAGAGTAAGCAGGGCTGTAGAAATTCTCTTTAGCATTGGTTACTAAGATACTTTTCATGCTGGAATCAGATTTGGAGAGTTATTAAGTCCTGAACTAGTTCTGCATTATGTAAGGACTTTGAACTCACTATGGGAGGCAGAATAATGACCCCCAAGATATCCACATCTTAATCCCCAGAACATGTTATGCATAAGAGGAATTAAGGTTGCTAATTAGCTGATCATAAAATAAGGACATTATACTGGATTATCTGGGTGGGCTCAGTGTAATCACAACAGTCCTTAAATGGGCAAGAGGGAGGCAGAAAAGTCAGTGTCAGGGTGATGTGTTGTGGGAACGGCTTGACTGATCATTGATGGCTTTGAACATATAAGGGGGCCATAAGCCAAGTAATGCAGGCAGCCCTAAAGGAAAAACAAATGAGATTTTTCCCTAAGAGCCTCCAGAAAGGAACACAGGCCTACCAACACCTTGATGTTAGCCCAGTAAGATACATGTCAGACTTAAGACTTCAAAACTATAAGATAATAAATTTGTTTAAGCCACTGAGTTTGTAGTAATTTGTTATAGCAGCAATAGGGAACTGATACACTTGACATCACAGAGAGACAATTATTGTGAGATGTCCCTGCCCCAGTGAAGAATGAGCTAACCCACTTGTCCCAATCTCCAGCCCTGTGAGCCTTGTACTATCCAGGCAATTCGTGCAGGTTAACTTGGAAAAACTGGGACCCATGGATGAAGAAATCTAGCACGCACTGCTCATTAATTTATATAGCTAGGGTGCAGCCAGTGGTTGGGATGAGATCCAGTTTTATCTCAGGTCTTCAGAAAGCTGCAACGTGGGGTGAACCAGGCTGCCATGAGATCTCCTAATTGAAGTCTAAGGTCAGAGCTGCTGGTGGGCAAGGGGAAGGCAAAAACAGGTAAAACAACCTCATGACAGATTATTGCCAGGGACAGACAAAAATAGAACTCCAGAAGGCCTTCTTGGTCAAGTCAGAAACTTGGAAAGGTGACCAAAGGGTCTAGTTACCAAAAAGTGTAAAGTGAAAGTGAAGTCACTCAGTGTCCAACCCTCTGTGACCCAGGGACTGTAGCCTACCATGCTCCTCCATCCATGGGATTTTCCAGGCAAGAATACTGGAGTGGGTTGCCATTTCCTTCTCCAGACACTCTTCCCGATCCAGGGATCCAACCCAGGTCTCCCGCATTATAGGCAGACGCTTTACCATCTGAGCCACCAGGGAAGGCTAGATAGAAATCTATGGGTGTCTTCCTGCTGTTGGTCATAACCTGACTCAAGCTCCAGGTATGAGGTATATGTTCATCTCCAAGACTGAATTGCTTCTTCCCAACCCCTCATGCCTCTTTTCTTCCTCTACCTTCCTCCACCACCTCTTCCTCTTGACCCATAAAATGCACAAGAATGATTCCAAGGCACTAAATTATCTAAATAGGTGTTATTAGGTTTCTCTAGAAAGGAGGTGTTCAACCTACACAACTGGGCTCATTTCCCACTAAGGGCTCCAACCTCTTTCCCAGGCAGTGTTGCTGATTGGAAAGAGGATAAAAACCTTATGCTATATGCTGCTTGATGATGTCAAGGCAACTTTACATACCTTCTAATCTGAGCTTGAGACAGCCCATGGAGGTGGGTGTAAATTGTATCAGGAGCCTACATTCCATTCCCTGCACCAACTGAGCTTGGGCAAGTCATTTACATCTCACTAGATTGCTCAGATTCCACCCTAAACCACCCCTACCCTCCAGCTCTGTAATGCAGAATGACACCTGAGGATGTCAGCAGAAAGAAAGTCCTAGTCCACAGACCTTCTTTTGCCTCTACACCAGGAGATATGTGAGTTGAAAAGTTTTGAAAGAATTATATTCTTAGGCAGAATGGCAAGCTGGAAAGTCAGTTGGTATCAATAGGATTTATAATCATGATAGACCGCATGTATTTATTGAATATATAGTACATGCCAAGCATTTCACAAACATTGTAACATTTAATATTCACAGCAGCCCTGCAAGGTAGGTGTCATTTTATCCCATGTTGCATTTGAGGAAAGGAATCTCAGAGAGACTGATTCACTCTAGACCCCCAAAGCCAATCAGGTTAAAAGCCAGGATTTATTCTATCTGTTTGACCCAAATCCTGTGCTGTTCCCACTAAACCTCTCCTCTCTTCCAAATGCCAAATGATGTTGCTAAAATAAAATGAAGTATGTTGACACTGGGAAATAAGTACGTGGGGAGTCATTGTGCCATTTTGTCTGCTACTGTGGGTGTTTGGATTAGCTAAAACTAATAATGATTACAAGCATATATCAGCATACATCATTGCTACTGATGCTTCCCTCCCCCACCAGATATCTCGCTATCGTTCACCCCTTGAAACCACGAATGAATTATCAAACAGCCTCCTTCCTGATCGCTTTGGTCTGGATGGTATCCATTCTCATCTCCATCCCATCAGCCTACTTCACAAAGGAAACTGTCCTCTTCATTGTCAAAAACGAGAAAAAGATCTTCTGCGGCCAGGTCTGGCCAGTGGACCAGCAGCTCTACTATAAATCCTACTTCCTCTTTGTCTTTGGCATCGAATTCCTGGGCCCTGTGGTCACCATGACACTGTGCTATGCCAGGATCTCCCAGGAGCTCTGGTTCAAAGCGGTCCCGGGTGTCCAGACTGAACAGATCCGGAAGCGGCTGCGCTGCCGCCGGAAGACGGTACTGGTACTCATGTGTATCCTCACGGCCTATGTTCTGTGCTGGGCGCCCTTCTATGGCTTCACAATCGTGCGCGACTTCTTCCCCACTGTGTTCGTGAAGGAAAAGCATTACCTCACAGCCTTTTACGTTGTGGAGTGCATCGCCATGAGCAACAGCATGATCAACACCGTGTGCTTCGTGACAGTGAAGAACACCACCATGAAGTACTTCAAGAAAATGCTGCTGCTCCACCGGCGGCCCTCCCACCATGGGAGTAAGTCTAGTGCTGACCTTGACCTCAAAACCAGCCGCCTGCCGGCCACGGAGGAGGTGGATTGTATCAGGCTGAAGTGACCCACTGGTATTTCACAATTGAAAACCCAAAAGCCAGTACTTGGAGCACAGTTTATCAATAACCAAGTTCACAGGCTGCATGGGGAAAGGGCAACTGTTTTCACACTTCGCTGCTCTCAAGGATCTGGATGCTTCTGCAGTCATAAAATGCAGTGCGGCTTGACAACAAACCACAGCAGCTAACATTTACTGATACCTGCTCAACGTACTGTACACAACGACACCAGCGAGATTAAAGAGCAACAGGAGCCGACATTGACTGATTACCTACTATGTGTAAAAATATTTAAATAGCAAAATGAATTGGCAGAAGTCATTGGAGTCATTGAGTTATATCTAGATATTTAGGTGTCAGAGGCCGCAGTTGGTCTTCTAGATTCATACTTCATCTTACCTCATTCTGTATCCAGTCAGTGTGGGAAAGTCAAAAGCCAACAGAATATAGAGCAATGGAGATAAACACATGAGTTACAGTGTGGGGTTTACAGCCTCATGGGGAGACAGTTCACGCCATCCCAATGAGCCTTTTCACTCAGATCTTATGATTTCCTTAGAACATTCTCTTGGATTCTGGTTGCCAGAAAAGAATTTTTCTCATAATCAGGTCATTAGTTATCTATAATGGTGTCATTTCAAAGAAAAGAACCAAAAAATTTCTTCTCCTCTGATCCTTGAAAGTTCATCATTCTTTTGGGTGAAGACAGACAATCCTGAAATGAGGAACACATCCAGTTCCTGACACCTTAAAGCAAGTAATGTCAGAAACTCCAGTATCAAGGACAAAGGGGTGCAGTTTGCCACTGGCAATGAATGTAATCTGTGTGGCCATTTTGCTAAGGCCTGAGCCATTTTTCTAGAACACACCCTCTTTTTCAAAGATGAGCTCTACTTGGAATTCAAAGACCTGGGTTCAAGTTCTAAATCACGTGACCTAGGTGTTTATTCTCTCTGCATCTCAGTTTTGTTCAATAAAACAAGACTACCTTACAAGACTGTTGGGAGAGACCACTGAAGTCATAGTTTATGAAAGTGATTTTCAGCTATACAAGTGACGAGAATGGATAACTGACATTGAGCAGTTTGTTTGGACCCCATCCACTGTGGCTTATTATGGAGAAACACTCCCACTTTTTCATCCTTATTCTGTGAACCAGTGAGCCCTGAACTCTTTGCAGATCTCTGAACTCTACATCAGAAGAAAAAAAAGAATCCTTGTCCTGGGTTATAATCAGGAAGATTCGACCTCAGAATCTCGGTAACCCCCTCCCCTGACTTTCAGTATCCCTGTGATCATAGAAGTGTTTTGACAATCTTCCCTGCACGTTGCCAAACAACATGCCCCATAGTTGCCTAAATCTGTTTGTATTATCACATATCTGTGGTAATTGTGTATATTTGTCCTCATTTCTTCTGGATTCATTTTGAAGCAGAGACTATACAAATGAGAACTGATTTGGGATTGACTCAAATGACCCACATTTGGACAGTTCCCGCTTTCTGTAGTTAAAGTGTTATTTAATTGTTTGCTTATGTGTGTATGTGTGTTTAATTAGTCATTGGTGTTTTATCCAACAGTGATGTTTCAACCAACATTTTCCTCTATCACCACACAGCAGACTCACTTTCAGCCCAATTATTGTACCCTCAGAAAATGTAAACTCACTTTAACATTAGGCTAGCCAAACTGTTTATAAATTCTGGTTTTAAAAAACTACATGATTTATTCTAAAGCCAAGCAAGTAAATATTTGGGGTTATCTGCATTTTCACAAATGTAATAACTGCATTTTTATTTATTACTCCTATCCTGACTCTTCTCCTAATAATATGATTCTTTAACAATAGACTGTTAACAATTGTATCTGTCAAAAGAATTCAGCCCCCCTTTTCCTTTTTATATTAAAACATACTAACCTCTCTTCGTTTCAATTTAATGGAAACAACTTTTGTAAATATTAGTGTGATTTGTGAGTTTCCAGTGAATAAAAGTGTTACGTTGTTATCATATGAAATAATTAACATATGGAATCTTAACCACACTATTAAAGCATTTTCTCTGCTAATCTTCTATGTGTTAGTATATTTAGATATCAGTGAAGTAATAGCCATTTAAACAGTTAAACCTTGAAACAGAGAAGGAAGTTCTTAAAAGCATTTTTAGAACAATAGTAGCTCACACCAGCAACCAGTCTCATCTTGCTCACATCTCTCAAGCTGGCAGCCCACGAGAGTACTCATGCATGAAAATCAGTCAGAGAACCACTACTCCATGTTCACATTCACATTCACATTCACGCTCCCCCTTTATTTCATTCTTTAAAAATAAAAAAATTTTTTTAAAAATTCATTTTAAAATCATCTTGTTTGTTTAATGAATAATGCTGTTTACATGGAGACTGTTCATTGATCTAACTGGAGTTAAGGTAATAAATGAATAGCACTTGTGTTTACCCTTTTCTTCTTGAGACTAACTAATGCTAAGCTTAAGATACTTTTAATGTGCTGAGATATAGAAATATTTATATATAATTTTATATTTGGGGCTATTGAAAATTTAATCTCGTGTAGCAAGACAGATCCATTTCCTTGGCCAGAGTAAAAGAAAGATGGCTTTGTGATGAAGCTATTAGAGATTTTTCTTTTAGCATCCAACATCAATAATAAGTTGATTCTCAAATTGAAGAAATTAAAAAATAGCTTCAGGCCTTTCAGGGGTAAAAACCAATTCCAGACTTATGAAGGAAAAAGTTACACATGGGACGTGATTATAAAACTTAAAGGGAGTTCTATCTCTAGGGGGAAGTGTCAGCTTTGAATCACATCTCCTCAATCTAACCGTTATCTCTCCCTTGAACTCAAGATCACACACACCCACACACACACACCCCCCTCAACAGGACGTCAAAGCAGGAAAAGGCCTTTGGGGGCATGTAATTCAACTCACTAGTGTCTTAGATGAGAAGATATGAATTCCAAAGGAGGAAGTGATTTGCTTAAGGATGCACAGCTAACACTTGCTGGAGCCAAAATAGTGCCCCAAGGTCTCAGTCTGGTCCAGTAACTGCCCTTCTGAATCCAAAGGAGAGGACTTCCTCTAAGAATGTTTAGAGGGCCATTTAAAATGGTTCCTGACCTCCTGAGAGAATCTTAAACTGCACAAAAGATACTTTCCTTCCCTCTGCCAAGCAGAGTGCCTCCCATCCAACAGATTTCATCATCTAGACTCCAGGGTTCCAGAGAAACCGGAATTACCCCAGGATGACTTTAGTGCTCCTGCCTTTCATTTCTCCTAGTGGAATAAGTGCCCTCTTTGGGAGATGTCTGAGCACATTTAGCTTGAATGTACATGGAGCTATTTGGATGTGGTGCTGGAGCATGTGGGAAAGCAGATGATGACGAGAAGAGGCCTTGGCCACAGGAAAAGTAGGTGGTGGGGAAAAGGGCTTTCTCGGATTGGAAGACAAAGCAGTCCAGGGCCAGAGTGTGTAATTATCGCACAAGTGGTGAGCAGTGGTCATTCTTTATGCCTCCCAGGAACCAAATGCCTCTGGTCACCAGCTCAGCCTCTCTCCTGGTACACCTACCAGGCCACACATCACCTCCTAGAGTTGCTTGAACCAATTACTCCTTTACAGATGCTCAAAGAGCTCCAGATACAGGACAATTTTTCTAAGCGATAAAGAGGTGTGGGGGTAAAATGTGTTTGGCACTTGCTTCAGCTATAACAAATTGGCAGGAGGTGAGAGATTCATTGGAACTTGAAAAGAATAATCGTCAGATAGAGGAAAGTAGGCAGGGGGGTTGCCTCCAAGAAGTGAGGAGGTCAGTTTTGAAACAGAAGGTCATATAGACACAAGGTCCTTCCAGTCCTTTGTTGATTCCTTGTACTGAATTTCCACATGTAAGTCACAGTCTGAGATGAAAGAGGTCATCTCCAGGATCTCATGTAATGCTGTTTGTAGGTTTCCAGCTCTGGATCCAGGCAAGTTCCTGATACAATTCTTTGACTGACTTCTGCAGCAGGAATGGTCCACTGTGTGCAGAAGATCTTCCACCCACTCACTTATTTAGTCTCTGTGCTGACTGCTGTGGAGGAACAAAGGTGTGGGTGCAAGTCTACATCTGAGAGTGACTCTCAAAATGATACATGATTAATTCTATGTTGAGGTAGAGACACTGTAAGCACAAAAATGGAGAGGATTTAGAAGACAGATTCCTTCCAACCATGGGAATCAGAAAAGGTTTGGAGTATAGAGGTTGTTAGAGTTCTGGAAGATGGAGAATGGTGGGGAGAGGGTATTCTAGACAAAGAGAATAGAAAGAGCAAAGACATAAAAGAGAGGAAATGAGATAGAATATAAGTGGAACAACAAATAGTTTGATTTGACAGACATACAGAATATAGATGTTTAGGGGAGAACAAACACTGGCAGCAGGATAAAGAGCAGGATGAAAAAAGAGGTGTACTGAAAGAGACTTGGATTCACAATAAGAATTATATTCAAATAGTAATGCTTATTTAATAACTTTCACTTTACTTCTTACCTCTTTACTTGTAAAATGGGAATGATCACAGTACTTGCAACATAAGATTATATATGGATTAAATATATATCTTAAATAACACCTCAGTTCAGTTCAGTTCAGTTCAGTCACTCAGTGGTCTCCATCTCTTTGTGACACCATGAACTCCAGCATGCCAGGCTTCCCTGTCCATCACGAAATCCTGGAGCTTGCTCAAACTCATGTGCATTGAGTCGGTGATACCATCCAACCATCTCATCCTCTGTCATCCCCTCTCCTGCCCTCAATCTTTCCCAGCATCGGGGTCTTTTAAAATGAGTCAGTTCTTCGCATCAGGTGGCCAAAGTACTGAAGCTTCAGCTTCAGCATCAGTCCCTCCAATGAATATTCAGGACTGATTTCCTTTAGGATTGACTGGTTGGATCCCCTTGCAGGCCAAGGAACTCTCAGGAGTCTTCTCCAACACCACAGTTCAAA